AGAGATGTTTTCCCACTCCTGTTCTGTCCTGTTCCTTTGTTTTCTTTTCTTTTTATATATGATGGCGTTTTAGTGCCAGGAAAAAAAAAATTATATTATGAGATTAACGTCATAATATTTTTAGAATAAAATCTAAATTACAAGAATAAAGTCATAGTCATATGAGATTAAAGTTGTAATATTTTGAGAACAAAGTCATAATATTTTGAGAATAAAGGCATGGCATTATAAGATTAAAGGTGCACTAAGTGATTTTTGCCAAACGATGTTGATATTTCAAAGCACCAAAACAAACACGCCCATACCCCAACAAGACCTCACCCCTATTTTGATAACTCCACCCCACACATACATACACAACCCTGGCAGCGACGATGGCGGAATCTGCTAAGCCTGCCAGCTGCAGCACATTCAAGCAAAAGTCAACACAGAAAAGTTTTGTGAAAAAGCAAAATCAACATAACTCACCTATCAAGAAGAAACAAAGCAACCTCGGCGTTCGATTCCCTTCCGCTCTTTGGTTTTTCTTCACCGCTGGAAAACTGCTCCAATATTTACGCGGCCCTACCTCTTGCCTGATCGTAACCCTTCATTTTAATGTTTTGTTCCTCCGAAATTATCCTCTTTTTTTATCTGCCATCTCTCGCTATCTCTAGTCGATCTGCTAATATCCGTCCTGTGCACTCACTGAGCGCTCCCTTCTCCCTATCATTACTAGACACGCCCCTTACTGCTGATTGGCTGTGAGTTTGTTTTGGGACTCGGTCTGACACAGTGGTGAAAAGTGTTTTTCAAAAATCACTTAGTGCACCTTTAAAGTCGTAGTATGAGAATAAAGTAAAAAAAAACAGTTGCAGCAATACGAGATTAAAGTCATTTAATATTTCATAAAGTATATTTCATGAATAACGTTAGCTAATGGGAAAATTCCACCGTGTACTCCGCAAAAAACATCTGTGGCATCCAACCTTTCATTCTTCACATGTATTTAATTAAACACAGCAATAAAACGTTCTAAAAGTTGAAGTGGGCTCCAACTCATTAACTTAAGTTATATTGTTGTCTTTTCTGAGGTAATAATAATAATAATTTGTTGCATTTATATAGCGCTTTTCTAGGCACTCAAAGCGCTTTACATTGTCAGGGGGTATCTCCTCATCCACCACCTATATGTATAATAGACGATTGGAAATAATATTTCAAGTTTTCAAACGTGAAGGAACATCAGATGGCATGAAAAAAAAACTGTATAATTTTATGAAACGTCTCATTGTAATCAAAGAGATGATTCACATGCCGATTAAACTGAGGCGAATACAGCGATCTGTCACGCCATATTAAAGAGCATGAAAACACAATATTGTTAGACATATTGTTTATATTTCGCTATAAAACTGACATAATTTGAAAGCTAAGACTTTGTTTATATTAAAAGTACCAAAAGCTCAAAGCTTACTGCTATTTTTGGGTGGCTGGCACACTACAAATAATGAATGCATTCGAAGACGTGAAATATTTTTTCCAAGCATACTGTCCCTGCGAGTATATGACACATGGTATGATTTCTGCTAATAATGCCACATATATTCAAATCTGTTGCCAGGCCACCGACATTTCTCCTGGTGTTCCAAATCCAGGCCATTTGCATGTGCAATATAGGCTATACTCTCTCTCTCTCTCTCTCTCTCTCTCTCTCTCTCTCTCTCTCTCTCTCTGTGTGTGGACCATCAGTGTTTCATCTCTTTGGCATTAGAGCTGTAATGGGAGTTGCATTGTTGTAAGGCCAGTCCCATTCTAGAGGTTAAACCCATGTGCTTAGTTAAACACAAGCATCACACATGGTGGTTGAGTCTCTAAAATGCCACACATTTCAGTTCTACAATTCTGCTCAGAAGCTATTTAGTCATTACTGTACAGAGGAGAGTTGTTAAAATGGTATTGGTGGTTTGGAATAAGGGCTGTTTGTCTGACAAAGGAAAGGCTGCTGTGTTGAACAACAGCATGTTGTATGAAGGGAGAATGGGCAGATAAACATATTCTGGTAAGACAGTGGCTGCTTCATAATTTGCTTGAACATTGCATCTCAGTATTTTTCCACCATCTATGTGTTTTGTCATTCCAAGAACGTGTGGATTGTAATTTGCCGTTCATTTGGCTGTTCATTAATCAATTGTTTTACAAGGTTTTGTGCAGAAAATGTTCCACTTGTATTGAGTAGTGTAGTTGTATAGTTCTTCATCAGACCACTAGAGGTCAGCCTAAACTCTCACTTGATACATTTTCATTTATAAGTGCTTATTTTGGTCCCAAATGTGTCTTTGACTTAATCTTTGTAATGATAATAAATTATTATATTATTACACTGTTATTATACAGTTATTACAACCTTAAGTTGTACTATACACTTTTTTCAGTATTTTCTGTGTTAGCCCTGTTGAAATGTTGAAAAAATAATCATTAATACTATATGTCTTCATTTTGAACAATTTATATATTGTTTTATAGTGTAAAACCTATCAAAATTCGTTCTTTTCTTTTCAGAACTTTGAATTAAAAGCATTCTTGTGCCTTGTTTTTTTCATGTACATTTTAATTTATTTTTAATGTGTGTTTTTTTTACATTGTTGCAAATGCAGTGACTACTAGGCACTAGGCAAAGACTCTCATGATACAAAAACGTAGTTGAACCTGGGTTATTTTTAGTAATGTCTTTAGTAATAAGCAAATGTCTGTGCATGCCCAACATTTTTCTCACCATTCTCTTTGCATCTTTCTCTCTCTTTGTCAGATGTGTGTAACAGCACTGATCTTCCTGAGGTGGAAATCATCAGTTTGCTTGAGGAGCAGTTGCCTCATTATAAGTTGAGAGCTGACACAATATATGGCTATGACCACGACGACTGGCTCCACACGCCTCTCATCTCACCCGACGTCAACCTCGACCTGACCACTGAACAGATCGAGGAGACCCTCAAATATTTCCGTAAGCACAGAATCGCTCTCATATTATTCCTCTACCTTTCTCGCTTTCATTCACTATTTTTCCTGCCTCTCTTTCCTGTCACTCATAATGAAGTTGTCTTTTCCTCTGGCCATATTTTCCAAATATCTCAGACATGCGCTGACACACATAAATAAGCATATATATGCATACATCATACATACTTTAACAATGCTTTAACGTAAAGATGTGTTAGTTGAACATTTGCTCTTTGATTAGTTTCAATAAACCTAGAATATTCTGTCAATATGGGGTGCTGTGTGTACATTAATGAAGAAAAAAAATTTACTTAAATGATTTTAGCAAATGGCTGCAATATAACAAAGAGTGAAAAATTTAAGGGGGTCTGAATACTTTCCGTCCCCACTGTATATATATGTATATATATACTCTATAATATTATAACTTTCATTCTCGTAATTTTGATTTTATTCTCAAAATATTTCAACTTTATTCTTGAAATCTTGTTATTATTATAATTTTTGTATTATTATTTACATGGCGCTTCAGATACGAGTCACGACGAGGCGTTCCCCATAGCGACCCCTAGAGGACGCAGTTCGAAGTTCCCATGAAAGGGAACTCTGTTGTAAAAAAACAATACTTTATATTTACATAAACTAATCATTTTGATTAGCTTTGCCTAGCAAGAATACTTGAACAGATATTTTATTTTTTATTTTTTATATATTTTATTTCAGTTCAATGTAATCATTTGTTCTATTTTCTTTGTCTATTTTGTTTTATTTTTATTTATTTGTTCTGATCCTTTTTATTTATTTTATTTTATTTTGTGTGTGTGTGTACCTTTGTGTTTATTTTTGTTTTTCAAAACATTTGATGACTCTATAAATATGTTTAACATCCTTTTTAAAAGACCTGTTCAAATACTCAAAAGGCTGCATTAACCTCAGTCGCATGGTCTATATATGCAAATGATCTCCCCTTACAAACGACAGGTGCTCCAACCACAAAACAGACACTAATATCTCTGCTTGTTATATGTCCCGCACTGAATTTCGACACCCAGTAACAGCCAGAAGAATAGATGAGTAACTCACACCTGTTGCAGCACTGACAACCGCATAACAAATTGGTTCATTTTGTGAGTCAAAAGGACGTGGTTTGTCTGTGAAAGGGACGTGTCTCCTGGGTCTCATGAGACCGCTCCCACACGCTCTGTCTTTCAACCAGAGCGTCATCTCATCTTTCCCATATAATGAAGAGGGAAAAATACAATGTTGTTCTTCACATTGTGGCACACCAGATGTTATTTTTTTCCCTTTAATTTTCACCCAGGGCAGAGAAAATGATAAACACACTCACACACACACACACACACACATACACCAGTGGTGAGGAGGGGCGAATCGGATTGCTCGTCACATCCACGTTCTCGATGGATCCCAGTGGTTTTGATCTGATTAGTGTGACTGGGCTTTATGTTTACTGTCAATCAAAATGCTCACCAAACTCAAGGTCGCAGTGTCCTTCGGCGGATCCAGCAGTGGAGACAGAGCAATGCATTTCCGTTCAAATTAATTTCGCTCCACGGTGATGAAGTGATGACAGAGCACTTCATTGATTTTTTTTTCAAATGCATTGCTGCAGTATTTTAGTATTGTTTATTTATTAGTGTTGTTTTAAGATTTTGAATAAATTTTTATTTTATTTTGGTTTTAGTAATTTCATGTGCTTTTGTCATTTGTATTAATTTTTTTAATTTAGGTTTTCATTTTGATATTTTTAGTTGTCACTTTGTTGAATTTTTAGTCATTTTATGTACTTTTGTGTTTTTAATAAGATTGTTTTTTAAAAATGTCTAAAATTTTGATTTCAGTTTTTCTCATTTTAATTAGTTTTTCATCTAATATTTATATTTCATTTTATTTAAGCTGTAATATTGACATATATTAATAACAGCTTAAAATTAACAAAATGATTTCAATTGTTTGTTTTCATTTGCTTAATGATAACAGAATTGTGTTTGTTTCCACAGTTGTTTCGAGGACGATGAACCACCTTGCATGGAGGAGATTGAATATTCATCCTGCAGTGACCCATTTGGTGCCAACGAACTGGACACAGAGGTGAATGGTAACACATCCAGTGAGGAAGAGGATGAAGAAGATGCAGATATCTGTAGGAACAGGAGGCGGCGTAATGACAGGAAGTCCCATCTCGTTCCTCACTACTTGAAACAGGATGCACTGGAGACTCTGACAATCGAGGGTGGACAGCGTAACGGCATTGACATCAGTAATAGCTACTTATATTAGGCCTCTTTTGTATGTCTTTCCTGTTAAACCAAAGCATTTAGTATTTAGTCCAAGAAACAAAACAAGACATGCACACCTGCAGAACATGTCCCACCTGTGCTCCCTGATATAAACTATTTGAATATGTATTTCCCGCATAAAACTGCACTTGAAGAGTAATTGACTGTTGCATAATCCTAGTGGCGTGATGAGCTCATGCTTTGGTCTATGCAGTGGGTTGTGGGTTGGTTTACGAATAACTCTTACTTTAAACTTGAGGCCAATAGCTTGCTGACAAAAATACTGTATAACTGGTCTTCCACTGAAACTCGAAAGTAAACACTGGATATTGTAAGATAGCACTGCATATAAAGTTTACCTTTAATAATATGTATTTATTATCTTAGATTGTGAAAATCAGTAATCATGTATGTTTTTATGGTTATTAGTTCCAAAGTGATACATGTATGTGCGTGTATACAAAGTTATTGTATCACTTAGTTCATATATATATATGAAACCAATCTTCCCATCTTATCCAATTTAAGCTGACATTTGGGTATCGGTGAAGAAATTTGCTTTACAAAAGCCAGCCTTTGAGCCAGATTTCATCCAGATTCTCCCCAGAATGTTTTGTATAATGAGTTCCGTCATCTCAGCTCAATTGGATCCACACAACCTTTGGTTTGGACCGAAGCTACAAATGCTAACTCATGTCAGTCCTTGTTCAAATTCAGGAGCCGACAGAAGCCTGCAATTAGATACTGACACTTTTAGCTCAAAGGAAATTGTGCCATTGCAGAGTAAATTTGCAGTTTCATCTTCGGTCTGTCAGACAGAAGTTTGATAATCAACAATATTATTGTATTTCCATAAATGTTTGTTTGTTTTATGAATATAGCCATGCTATGAATATAATCATGGCTAAAGGGGGTTGTTAAGTGCAACATGCAGCTTCGGCCTGCAATCCTTTCAGCCAAGACTGTATTACTAATATATCACAACCATGAGTATCCTATAGCTGCAAGCAGAATCAGTTAAATCTGTGTGTGGGTGTGTACATTGTATTACAGTATATACACATTATTGTATTTAGCTACAAAATATTAAGAAATTATTACAATAAGAAACATTCTTTCAGATTAATTAATGTTGTTGTATGTTGTATATATATTTATGAGCAATATCGCGTGAGTAGCAGTGCGATATGCCTGTATATCAGCTCGGCTAATCACAGCATGCCGATATATAGCCATATCACACTGCTACGAGTGCGATATTGCGCTTATACAACAGCTTGACGGCACGAGTGTGTAAATATATAAGAAATAACAACAGAGTGTCCCTCCTTAGAAAACCCTCCTTTTGCAGAACTACTTCCTTCCGCCACGGTTTGACAGTTTCACAGCTGAGCCCAAGCCTCCGTTACTAATTCGAAACCGTCATTTTACAACTAGTAACGAAGGAATGAGTTGCTTCAATAAAAGTAGTAACGAGTTGTTTCATGAAAAGCTTATTGTATTACTGTAGTAAAATCTCATTGTAGAGTATTATGAGAGAGAGCTGGACTGAGGAGTGTGATTACCTGCATCTGATACAACATTCATTCTTTAGCTCAATCTCATATTCACAATAAAACAAGAGTTTGAATGTCTGCTGAGGAAAGCGATATCTTTGTCGTACTGTCCTTTCATCTGTTAAGGGTGATTTCTAATGACAGGGCTGCTCAGTGCATCTTACAATGTGTTGTTGAAAGTAAAAACAACTTCCTTGTTTACAGCCCTGTTTCAGTCTCTTTCAATATAAAAGTCTTTATGCTGACTCATTCATAAAAGCAGTATCTTGTCACCATCTAATGGTGGGACAATGTAACTAAAATCACCATCACGAACACACACACACACACCGTTTCGCAATACTAAATATAACTAAATATTACTATTATTTATAAAAAATATTTATTGAATTAAAAATATTTAACAAACAATAACCATCATAAAAGTGGCTAGGTAATTCAGTCAAAAGTACAGGCAGCGCTCTGATACTTCTTTAGTTATATAAAAGATAACGTGATGAAATTTTGCTTTCAGCCTAAACTATTTGCTCTGAAACAAATAATAGATTGAGACCAAAGACTGCCTGTTAGATTTACCCAAAATGAATTTTATCTCATGTTTAACCACTATAGAGACATCAGAGCCAGCGACAAAATCCAGATTATCTGGCCGAGGTGAGGCTGCTTTCGGTGGATTCATGAGCGCTGAACAGCCGCTGACACCCTGGAGCTCATATCTCCGCAAGCATTGAAGCTAATTTTCAAATAGACGTTATCTGTATTAACAAACCGTATATTTGAAGTCTAAAAAAGTACATTCTTGCCTAAAAAAAACTCTTAAAACTAATTCCCATGACACAAAAACAGTATTATTTTTAAAAATTATAGTGGATTTGGGCGACAGGCATGACACTCACTGTGTGTCTGAATGAACAAAATGATGGCATTAATGAGAAGTCTAATTAAACAGTAAGCAATACACACACTTATATATCACCGCTTTGTCACATTAAAATCAAACTTCAGATGTCCTGAAAACATGATCTGTGTGCGTGTTTTTTTTATTAGTGAGCAATCAGCTTGTTGAAATCTCCAGATCTGTGACCAGTTTACCGAGCTCTGATGACTAATGTTCCAAAAATAAGTATATTATTAAAAAGAACAGCTGAACTTCACTTCATAAATAAAATATATAATTGCTTAAATAAAATAATAGGATATTGTTCAAATTGTTACTGCCTTGAGTTGTTATTTTGGAATAAATGTAAATGCTTAAAAACACTAAACTGATTAGATTTAGGCCTATACTTGGTTTTAATAGAATAAAAATGTTGATGTAAAAATACAAAATAGATTTTCATTTTGGTAGTGTGAGTAATGTTTATTTAACCAAGAAAATGTGACTGGGACATTTATTTACATTTATTAAAAAAAAAAAAAAAAAAAAGAGTGAGGACTTTGCCTCATTTCAGAACACCACTGATATTTTTTATTATCAATATTATAATTGTATAAGAACATAATAGTAAATCAATTATATATTATCATTATTTTAAGGTATTAAGAAATCATTACTTTGCTAAATTATTAAATTTCGAAACCGTATTCTTTCAGCTGAAAGCCTATTCAAATTATTATTATTATTAAAATAGTAAATGCATTTTATATACACTCACTATTTATTAAGCTACCTTATTAAGATATTACTACTTTACTAAATTATTAAATTAAGAATAAGTATTCTTTCAGCTGACAGAATACAAATTATCCCAAAATATAAATTATTATTATTATTATTATATAAAATAATAGTAAATACGGCATATATTTATACTCATTATTTTATTAAGCTAAATAATTAAGAAATTAAGTAAATCATTACTTTAGGAAAAGGTGTTTTTTTTCATCCAAAATATGTAAAATATATTTTTGTTATTATTATGTAATAATTTCTTAATAATATAGCTTATTAATGCAGTAAGAAAATAGTGAGTGAATGTATAATGTATTTTTATTATAATAAAATAATAATAATAATAATAGCATAATCTATAGCGTTTTATCAAACAAACACACAATAGCACAGGAGCTAAAACAACCGTAGTGAAGTTTATACACAGAGAAAAATCAGTAAACAGTGCTGCTGCAACAACAGAATAATAACCAGGAAGGGTAAGTGTAGTGTGTTTCTCTGAATAAAGGCAGTATGGGTAATGACTCTATTTTCATTCTCCCTGTGTCATTCGGGGCTCAGTCTAGGGGTAGGTAATGACTTAGCTGTGACCTCCAGCAACCCGCAGCAAACGGCATGCTGTCCTGTCCTGTAATCTCATTCCCATTTACGAAGAGATGGTCTAATTAGATCCTGGCAGGGTGGGCAACTTACCTGAGCAGGGAGAGGTGGGTAGGTCTTCATTGGTATGCTGCAGACGCCCAGCACAGCACACACCACTGCATTTCTTAATTGTGTCTCTCTCCAGGTCTGTCTGCAGCTCGGCTCCAGTCACCGCAGACGGAGCGGGGAAACGTTAGCGAGCGTGGCATTACTGTCCCCTCCCCAACAAATGACCCTCCTGGAGCTCTCATGGCTGTGATAGTGATTACTACATTATCACATACGTTCAACTAGCAGCTGTTTTTGTCTAAATAGCTATAGGGAGCTCCGATCTTACACCGCACTGCACAGGTTAAGGTTACACAACGTTGTTGTTTTGGGTTCTTTCTTCAGCTATAGACATTTTTAGGTTTTTAGTTAAACACTTCTGAAGCTCACTAGTTTATTTGATTCGCCTGCATTGAGAATGTAATCATGGCTATGCCAATACATAACACAAGAATCGGCATTTCTTAAATGTTGTGACTATTTAGACCACACCTCAAATTACTCTAAACTAGCGTTAAATAGAGTTTTGTGGTGGAAATGTATTTTTAAACATTTCTGGAATATAATGAGTGACTGCTTTGTCTTGCTAATGCTAATTTCAGCTAGCATCTTAAATACAGTTCAACAAAATTTTTAGATTGAACGTCTGGGCGAAGTATTAAAATAATTCACCTCTAGAAAAATAAGTGCCCATAGTTGAAGAAAAGTTGTTAAAAAACTTGGAGTGTATAAGCTTTTTTTTTTTCTTGAGCAGCAAATCAGCATATTTTAATTATATTAATGCTTAATAAATGCATTATTGTTTTGACTGTATTTTTGATCTAATTTAACCTTGGTGAGCATAAGAGACTTCTTTCGAAAAAAAAAAAAGAAAATCTTACTAATCCCAATTTTTGAAAGATAGTGTAATACAGAGCTGATCTGAATAGAAGTGGGAACAGGAAAATGACACCGTTGGAAATGAACGGCTGACAGGTCATGTTTCTGACCACCGAATTGTTGTTTTTGACTTGTAAATGTATGAATTCGTGTGTTGATGCATTCATTTGTTGATGCGTGGCCAGGCTCGGGTTTCAAAAAGTTTTTGCGGTAAAGTTTTTTTCTTTTTGCAGAATTTTTTAGCTCTGAATTTTACACAGTATGCTATCTAAAGAGATGAAGGAAAGTTTGGTTCCTCATGATACAATCCCCTTCAAGAAGTGTTTCAGGATTAAGTGGTCAGCGCAAACCAGATGCTGTCTTGAGTCTACCAAACATGCTTGTCTCCAGCTGAACATAAGAAGTTTACTGTTTAAAATGTGTCATTAAATATGAATATTGCTCATGCATTATTCAGTTCTTTCCGTTAAAAAAATAGTGTATCAATTGCTTCAGAAATACAGATGCTTTATTTATTAAAACCATGCATGTGAAGGAGGATCATTTGAAGAAAGACGCCAGTTCATTATTAATTTAAATCTCTAACTCCTCAGGAGAAACCTAATACTGTCCAAAATGGATAAAATATGATAGAATTGAAAAGCATCCTAGTGTTATGAATAAAACATTGCTCAGAAGCTCTGTGTATAATGAGCGTCATTCCCTTTTAACTTGATTAGATTTTGCTGGATGCTTTGTGTGGTACATCTTCCTATCAAACTGAAACCTGTTTGCATTGATCATTAACTCTGCCGTTTGTTTTTCTTGTCAGTGGGCCATCTGGATATTGTGTGTCATTTTTTGATTTATGGTCCTACCAGTTGAAAAATAACTTTTCTGGGCCATGTAGCTCTTGTATATTGATACTGGTTTCCATTGTAGGGTATTAGACCGGTTTGGATGTGATCACATGAGATGTGACTTTTGATCTCATGCATGTTCATAAGGCTACTGGAACATTATTTTAAGCACTTGGTCAAGTCAACTTAAGTTAGTTTTATTTGAATAGCACAATGCACATTGTTTCAAAGCAGCTTTACAGAAAATTATGATGTTAATGTATATATTATTCAGTCAGTGAGATACTATTATAGTTTTTTTTTAATCCATTTGTTTGTATTATTGGTTTACATTTTAATTTTAAAGTTTTAGTAATTTTGTGTATATGTCTATATGATTTTTCTTAATTTTTATTTCAAATCTAATTATTTTAGTACATCAAGTTAAACTAAATTAAAATGGAAAATGTTGGGCTGCAGTAGCTAAAATAAAAATAATTTCATATTTAATTTTATTTCAGTTAAGATTTATTTTATTTCAAGTAGTGATTTTTTTAATATTTTTAGTTTCCATTTTAGTTAACTATAATTACCCTGATATTATAAAAAAAACTTTGTTTGAACACACTTGATTTCTAATAATTTTGAAAGATTTCTGATCTTTTGTGTGAATTAATTTCTTTTTTATTAATTTTATTTTGTATATTTATATTAATGTGTTTGTGATAGTTTATTATATTTAATTTATTTTAATTTATTTAAATATGTTTTAATAAAGTTGAAATGGATAGTGAAGG